GAGTAGCACTTGTTGTTTGTCATTTCTCCGATCACAAATGCAGACAGAGTTTTATGTTTACGCGGCGCGAAGCAATGCAACGCAACGCGTAAAAAGACAGTATAAGTCATTATAATCAGTAATTATGTCCCCACTGGATAAAACAAATGCCTCGTTTGTAATGGGTTTTAATGTTTTTGTCTCGTCGCTCCGACACGGCATCAACAGTGTGTGAGGTGCGTAAGATTTCCGTCTCACGCTTGAGGTATTCGGCCAATCACAACGCATTGGATAGCTGGCCAATCACTGCACACCTCGCTTTTTCAGACCGATGAGCTTTGTAAAAATCGACGCGTTTCTAAAAGGCGGGGCATAGAGGAGAAACAATAATGTACAGTATGTGGAAAATAATGTGTTTTTTGAACTTTAAACCACATAAACACATTTCATTACACCAAATACACAAAATAATGTTCTTTTTAGCAACATCATATGACCCCTTTAAAGTGTTTTAAGCTATAAACCAAAGCAACTAGCTATGAGTTGAATCATAATATGAAGCAAAAAAGTATTTGAAATTAAACTAAAAATACGTAGGTACGTGGTTATTGATGCGACTGCGTCATGCACAAGGCTTCAGGAGATAAAGAGTTCCTTTGGCATGATTTGTTTGTTTTGATTCTCTGATTGGTGGAGATTTTTTGTAGAATCATGGGTAATGTAGTTTTTCACCAGCAATTACATTGGTAAACATGATTATTTAAAAATAAATTTGAAATAATGTGGGCTGATTGCTTCAACAGAAGCACATATCATTGATTAACAACATCACAGCTCACGGGAAGTCTGTTTTTAAAGGTTTATATGTAAAAACCTTTAAAATGCATTAAAAATCTATTCTCTAATGGACAAAATGAATGGGATTTTTACTTCCTAAACCCTACTGTTGCACTGACCAATAGCAAACATAAGTATTTTTCTTCATTACAAGAACAACAATACACAAATTCCATTGCGGGATTTGTGCAAATCATAATTTATATATATGTGGTATTTTCACGTACTTTCAGATGGAGCAGCATTTACTACACAGAGCCGTAGTTCACTGACAAGCTACGCAAACAGCTTTTATAAATCACAGAGCGATTTCATAATCGCGCGATTAAATCGTCTGCGATTATGAATGCGATTTTGCGTAGCTTGTCAGTGAACTACGGCTCGGTGTAGTAAATGCTGCTCCTTCTGAAAGCATGTGCTGGAGATTTACTACTGATTTCAGAACAGGCTTTACTGACAAGATGCGCATGACAATCACATTTGATTAATCGTACAGCCCTATATTATTCATTATTACATTAGCCTGCAAAAATAATTACAATATGATCATCCAAAAATTGCTCTTTTTTGGGCAATTTCAATGCATGGGGACTGGGGATTTCAAGCTTCAAAACGGACATAGACACACCATAAAAAGTATCATCAAAGTAGACCATACAAGTCATGCACTATATTCAAAGTATTTGATAGCTTTGTTTGAATAAACTAAAATGAAAACAATTAAAAATTATTTTTGGTATTTGAAATAAATCTGAAAAAATAAATATTAGATGAAAAACTTGAATGTAAAAATCTTAAATATTCCGAATGCTGCCTTAGTTCAACTTAAAGTACTAAAATTATTAAAACTAAAGCTGAAGTAATAATAAACTAGCTAAATAGAAATATTAAAAACAAAAGCTAATAAAAATAACAAAAGCACATAACAAAATTACTAAAACTTACACTAAAATTAAAGTGAAAATATAAAAATAAAACCTAATTCAAAATATTTATTTCATTCTATAATAGTATATAAATAATACTAAAATATCACTGGTTTGTGTGTAAAAAAGAGGCCTGTTTATTGAGTTGAACTAGAGAACTGAATTGATCTGAATCAAGCTGAATCAAAGGCAATTTTCAGTAAATAATAACTTAAAATATGATCTTTTCGGTCTGTGAATTATTCCTTTAAGTCAGTGCAGAAGAGTACACCAACACAAACTCATCTAAAAACTCTGAACATCTATCGTTTTACTGAGATCAAAAATTCATAATACATTTTGGGCTCTTCCAAACCAGACACTGTCAGCATAACCAAAAACACCAACCAGTGGTTTTACAGTTCAGAGACAGGTATCTGTGAGAGGTGAAAGCGTGAGAGAGGGTTTTGAGGACTTCACCGTCACTGGTGATACCTTGGGGACAACCCTCAACCTCAGCATGAGAGTGCAGATCTGCAGCCTGCACGACCTGCTCTCTGTTTCCCCTAAAAGATACAACAGTTAAAAGAACAGCAGCAAAAGCCTTTATAAACAATAAGACTTACACTGCCAGATCAGTGTGGTATGCTGCTCGCCTCATATTGCTGGGAAAACCTTGCCGGAGGCAAAAGCACTTCAGAGGAAAATGCAGCTCTAAAAACTGTTTCAGGGCTGCTTCATATTCTGTCGCACAGCATTCCTTCCTTGTTAAGTTTACAAAAACAAGTGTAATTTTAACTGTAACATTTTGTAAAAACACTATGGAAAAAACTGTTAATAGATTAACAGTAAGTTCCCGTACTATATACAGGGAAAAAATTTAAAATATCTAACCAGACATTTCATGTAATTTTACAGTAAAATGCTGTTAATTTTACAGTTTTTAGAAGTAAAAATAACAAATCAATGTATTATTTACAGTCAAAAACTGTACAAAAACTGATATTCCCCGAATTCCCAGCATGACACTCCACATTTGAAAGTATTTTGTTTAAATAATCATGTTTTTTTTAATAGTTTTTGTTATTAGTTATGTATATTTGGGCTTTATGTTACATCTTCTGTTGTTTAATGAAAGTTTAATGCATTATTTAAGTATAATGTGTGTTACCATGATGGTGTTTTGTGTTTGCATGAATGACTCTGTGCACCTTCTATATATTAGAATATACTTCTGCTTGTGGCGAAGCTGCTTGTGATGAGCTTTGATTCTTCATGTGGCTTTCTCTTTTACCACCTGCATTATTATGGTGGTTGTCAGTATGTTAAAGGTACAAAACAGATTTTAATAGCAGTGTGCACTGTTGAATTTACTGGTTTACATTCAAATTTTCTTGTTTTTAAAATACAGTTTTATATACTGTAAAATTTACAGTTTTTGGCCGTAAATGTGTTTATAGTTTTTCTGTATTTTTTACAAAATTATTCTGGCAACCACAGCTGCCAAACTTATTTTGTAAAAACTACAGATTTTTTTTTTACAGCGTAGTTATAATCATGGACTAATTGTTTATTAAAACTGCAGCAATAAGCTACTTAAAAAAAAAACATTACAATCAGGTATCACATTAATAAAGAATATTCTGCGTAACACAAGCAACACTTGAGGCTTAAATGACACCAAAATATACTTTTACATTACCTTTTACATTGTTACAGCAGATATTTTAAATAAATGTTGTTATTAAGCAGCACAACTGTTTTCAACACCAATAATAATCATTTTAAAAAAAGTTTCTTGAGCAGCAAATCATCATATTAGAATGATTTCTGAATGATTATGTGACACTGAAGACTGGAGTAATAATGCTGAAAATTCAGTGTTGCCATCATAAAAATAAATTACATTTTAAAATATATTAAAATAGAAAATAGCAATATTAAATTGATATATATATATATATACAGTTTGTAGTAATAAAAAAACTGCTAATTTCATATCCTGCATCAAATTAAAAGGTTGTGCATTATTAAACACTGACTGACTTCAATCATTCTCATCCTTTAAGTGATCAATATGTGATCAATATCTGTAACTGCAAAAGCAATAAACATAATTGGGCATTTCCCTCACCCCTGAGGGACTCCTTGACGTGAGTGAGAGGCTCTCCAGCCAATAGCATCATCTGACGCATGTACACACAACAGGTTAGAAATGACGAATGGGGGGTCCCGATACATTACTGGGATCTCCAGTGATTCCCTTTCAAGCAGCTCGATGTGAAATCCACACCTTGTATAAAAACACCACACCATTGTGCCCCAAAATGACCGACCATCTGACAAGAGGACACTCCGCATCGCGTGATTATACCCGGGTTAGATTATGAATGAGATTAAAATAGACTATCCCTGGAAGTGTGAGGACTAACGTTAAATAAGTCAGCAAGGAACATCGCAATGTCAAGACTGAGAATCTGCTGAGGCAGCCGGTTCAGAAAACGAAGGCAGATCGTAACATTCACGACGCGAGAGACATATATTTCCCGCAGAGGCTTACCTTCATCCTCGAGATCGAGTTTCTCCAGCATGTCTTCAGATAAACCGTGGACCTGGGGACAGAGTGACAGTTGTCAAGCACAGACGAGGCGATCTCGCGCCGTCCACACACACACACACACACACACACACACACACACACACACACACACACACACACTGGCAGACACACGGACGGTGAGGAGACCGGTGAGTTCGGAAGTTGGCTGTCAAGATACAGTAGACAATAAGCGGCGGCAGAACAAACCGAACTGGTTTGGAGGAGAGAAAAAAACCCAAACAGGTTAAGTGCTCATGATTTAGGGTCCATCTGTCGTTGTAGGGACAGTCAGTGTTTGCAGGCGTGCACCGAATATGTACCCGAGCATCCAATGTGAAGTCAGTCATGAGACCCTCCCCCTCCGGCTTTTTATAAATGGACTGTTCCAGTTTGCTGCAGTCGCGAGCCGCCCGCCAACGGTCTGGGATTGTTTGGTGGTGGGTGGGGATTTTGATCCATCCAGATGAATCGAATCTTTTGAGTCTGTTCACTAAGATGATTCGTTCACTGATTCAGTTACTCTTTCTGCAGGTTAAAGGTGCGGTCGCATTAGCGAAATTACAGCAAATTTTCAGGTACAGAATTCACATTTAAATCTTTATAAATTGTCATCTCTAATTTCCTTTAACTGCCGTACGCCCGTTCACGAGAGAGTGGAGCTCCAGCGGATGACGTAGGACGCAAAGTAACGCGGGGTAAAACAAAACAAGTAACGCAGGGTAAGTTGTAACACACGTGGTTTAAATATTTCCACACATGCTAGCATAACCAAATTTACAGCATTTACTAGTTACTATATCAACATTATATAGAGAAAAAAGTGCGCCAAAATTCAAAAGTCTTTTGAAGATATCGCTGGACATTTATTTTACCATAGTAAAATTATATTTCTGGCTTAAGTACATTTTTCATCTCCGTTTTTATTACTCCTTTAAAATGAGACAAATCTGCTATTATTTTAATCACCAAACTGTTATTTATCAGTTTAAATTATTTTTTAATGCTTCGCTAACTATCAGAAGACAGTAACCAGTTTTAAATTCCAGTTGCGCAGATGGGGCATGTTGTAACACTGCGTTACAATGTGTTATTCTAATATATTAGCGATGTAATTTACACTATTTACTTTAATACATTTTAATGATAAACGACGAGAAACGGGTGAATAAAGACTGACAGTCAATGTTTAATGTTAAGAAATTATTATTTCAAGACATGTAAAGCATTTTGGCTGGTTTATGTGGGCCGTCCCAAGCATGGTTGCAATGTGTTCATTGTCAAACTCCAAAATCAGATTATTTTTCATTCTTAAAAAACGAATGAAATAAATAATCATTTTATTTTATTGACAAAATATTTTAGTTTGTCTTGTATATGTTTTTCATTCGATCAGATAACATTTTAAGCTGTTATATGGTCATGTTACAACGTGCCCCTCAGATGTTACAATGTACCCCACCTACGGGGCACGTTGTCACATTTCACTTCCAGTTTTTGAGGGTAAATAAAGAAAAACGTATACACTATAATTATGAAACAAAGCGACATATTTTTACTAGACAAGTGTGAAATCACTGTGGATACAAAAAATATATATACTCTGAACCCCATGTGGATTTACACAATTTGAGAAAGTCAAAAAGTGTTACTTTGTGCTCTGCTCTCCCCTAGGCATAGCGTAAGCTCCAGTGATAAGTGACAAATGCAGAAGCGCAAAAAATTGTAAAGAAAAATGTCAGAGGATTTCGATATAAGCCAAGAGGAGACTGGTTTTCCTAGGATGGCCTGACTGTTAGTAAATCATGGGGTAGGTGAACTATCCCTTTAAGTTTAGTCATGCTAGTTCAAGTGACACCACTTGAACCAGTAGCTAAATCTGCATGGGGAAATCCTTCGCCTATATACAACATTCATGATCGCATGGATTCTAATTGAAATTACCAGATTTCGCCAACAAAAGTTCGCTGTACAGTGGAAAATGTGACTGCACCTTTAATGCCGTTACCCCAATAGGTTGAGACAAGTAAGCACTTGTGTTTGTATAATAAATCATTGCCTAATCAATTGTTGGCTTTATTATATTTTTTATAATCGTTCTAATTCTATGAGAATTATGAACTATAAACTAAACAATAACTAACTACACAGAGAAATTATGTCATTGGAATCACTTTCAGATCGATTTTTTTCCTAGCTGATAATCAATTAAAACACTGACAGCCAATCAAAATTCACCCAACTTTGAGTATTTAAAGCTACAGGCGACATAACTATTGTGGACTCTAATATGGTTATCATTCTCTAGGGCAGTGGTTCTCAATTCCACTCCTGGTGTACCACTGCTCTGCACATTTTGTTTGTCTCTCTTATCTGACGCCCTCGGTTAAGTTCATGGATCTCCCTAACGAGCTGATTATCTGAATCAGGTGCGTTAAATAAGGAAGACATGCAAAATGTGCAGAGCAGTGGTACCCCAGGACTGAAATTGAGAACCACTGCTCTAGGGCCTTCAGAGCAACACACCAGTTATGTCGAAAAGTTCTAATTAATTCAGTTTTCTCAAATCAGATGTCTCCGTTAATTCAGTTCGTTGACGAACAAGATTCAGTTTACACACAAAGTCTAAAAACACTTATTGCTTCGGTAAAGGAGGCGTATTCGTTCAGAATGTCCAACCAATGAACTGCTCTGTCACATACGCCACTAAAAAATGATTTGTTCATGATATAATCAGTCAGTCGCACACTTGAAATCAGTGAACAGATAATATGAGTCAGTGTGCAGAAGAATGATTCACTAAAATAAAAGATTCGTTTAACAACAGTGACTCATTCATAAATGAAACACTAGTTGTTTAAACCTGAAGGGAACTTGTACATGAAATGTTAACCTTAAAATGTTACCAAATTGTTCATATTCTTAATATTGAATCTTATTAGTGGCAGTATTTCTCTCCTTGATTGTGCTTATGGTATTTGTGAGTGGTTTTCCAAGAATAAATTCTTACACTTTCATATCTAATATGCATTTGCACATCTATGCATCCAAATTTAAATCAGCTCTGTGTACAGAAAGACTGTCTGTGCAAATAAAGCCAGTAGTGCGGCACTGCTGTTTGTGTGGTGCCCATCTGGCCGTGACACTCTTTCTTAACCTCCTGCATCTTTTTCCTTTTCTCTCCACTTAATGGCTCTCCTTGGACCTAGATAGAATGAAATCAATTTAACATACACAGCTGTTTAAAATCATGAAAACCTATAGAGGCCGTCCCGGCTCCAAAGATATTTCACACAACTGTTTTTGGTCTTTCCCAGAGCAACATCTGGCGTGGAGGGTAGTTAAAATGAACTGTGCCCAAATTCCTGCCTGATGAATCAGTGGGTGTGGCTATCTGAACGAACTTGAAAACCCCTATGAATATACAACAGAAGTAAACAAACACATAAGGGGTGGCCACGAGAAAAATGTTAGTTCACAAATCTGGGGAATTACAAATAATGGGAGAGTGGAAAAAAACTTAGTGTCAGACCTTAACAGAGAGTGAGAGGCATTAAGTTTATTTAACAGACAGCAGCGAACAGGGAAGGTGTCTGAGAAGCTGTGATTCTGTTCATCCGCATTGACCCATATGAGACCCACACTCAGCACATGTCAGTGGATTAATACATGAAATGACAATCGCTGAGAGTGGATTTTCAGAGGTTGCTAAAGATAAAGTGACATTATTGCACTGCATTGAGTTGCACATTTTTAGGGATGAATTCACAAAACTTGCGCTACTTTTATATTTTCATCTATGTTGAAACACTACGGCACAGTGAGTATTTAAATTTGGCTCATTATAGGACCTTACTGATAAATTATTATATTTGCCTGAAAAATGTACGAACAGATACTGTATACCGTAGGTGAATGAGACTCAAAGTGTGAGAGAAAGAGTAAAGGAAATGCACATAAAGATTCACAAGAAGTTGATAACACATCTGCTGAGTGCAGCCTTGGACCTCTGCTTAAATTACCGGGCAGGAGGCAAGGACAACAGCATTGCAGATGGTGACTGCTGTATTGATTTTGGCATGTGACGGTCAGTGTGTTGAGTCGTAAAAATCTGATTAGATCCATCGACAGGAACTGGCGAGTTCTAAAAGTATTGTGTGCCTGTTTTAAGGAATCTTGTCGATTTATAAATGTTGAATATATATTCCATAATTAAATATATATTTCAATATATATAAAGTATTTTGGGTCAAAGTTTTTGACAGTTTAAAAAAAATAATAAATATAATGTGTAAAGACAAACTACTCATATTCATGTGGCTCTTCAGATAAATGTGTGTTTTATTATTTTATAATAATTAATTTATAAATGTATGTAAATTATATGAATATAACTTATTTAATAATTTATATAATATATTGTTATATATAACATGTTATATCTACAGTATATTATATCTATCTGTTATATATATACAGGACTAAAAATGTTTTTTTATTGGTCTTATGAAGTATTCTAATTTGTTGAGATAGTGAATTGGTGGGTTTTTGTTAAATGTGAGCCAAAATCATCACAATTAAAAGAACCAAAGACTTAAACTACTTCAGTCTGTGTGCATTGAATTTATTTAATACACGAGTTTCACAATTTGAGTTGAATTACTGAAATAAATGAACTTTTCCATGACATTCTAATTTATTGAGATGCAAATGTTGTTTAAATATATATTAATATAAAGTTATTTTATTTTATAGTTCATACATTTGCAAAATCTGCATGCATTCTTTTAAATCTTAAATGCCCAAAACATATTTTCAAGGATCGGGAGCTTTTCATGATCCTTATTGGAAAGTTTTTTGCTTGAAATCTTGTACAGAAACACTATTCATAGGAAGTCACAATTTCTGTCAGGAAGCGTTATGCTTTGTCTTTATTGTTTTGCTTGTATTTAATTATTAAAACATATATCGGATGATCACTTGAAAATGAATGCTGCAGAAAACGACTCCGATGTATCAATGTCCCGCTGTAGATCACTCACCACACGTGAGGTAGATAGAGGTGCCGAGCAGAGACAGGGCGGTGGTTTTGCGGCAGGCGGGCTGTGGTGCTGTCCTGTGTCGAGGGGGGAGGAGGAGGAACGGTGCACTGTGTCATGCCGACTGCCTTCCAGAAGATATGCCGAAGTCTGCTTGGTCAGTTGTGTTGGAGTGGTGGGTGATGAGGAGATACCAGAAGCTGTAGAAACAGAGACACAACAGATATCATCTATCTATCTGGAATGAAATTTGATGTTGCTACTATCACAGAAACGATACACTGCACCTTTAAGACTTTATAGCTGATACTGTGTACTGTGCTACAATGTCTCACTGTATCCCACGAAGGATGATTTAGATTCACCTGTCACTTAAAGGTTAGGCTGTACCTGTCATAATTTCTGATCTGCGCCTGCAGAAATAGAAGGGACCATAAGGCCTGAACCGCAGGAATTGTGGAGAGCAGAGTTTTATCACGTCATTTTACACTTCATGTGCTGTTGCAAGCTGCAAAATTCATGCTGTGATTCCTCCAGGCTCTGCCCTCCATACTGCAGTCAGATCAGAGAAAATGACCGGTATAAACAACAACACTCTGGATGTTTTTATTCTGTTACTGAGGCTACACGATTCTTCCAATACATGGCAAAGACCCAAACATGACACATTTGTCAAATTTTCCTTAAGTGTTCATCACGCCAATCGCCTGAGTAATTGGCCTGTCCGTTTTGGATTCATGCTGCGCGTTAGTTGGCCGTTAAATGATAAAATCAATCTCATTGTGGGCCCTCTAATTGCATTTTTGTGATTGCTTCAGCTCCCTGTTGTTTGAACTTGACCCACTTCTCTGTGCCGTCCTCTCCCCTGGCTGGATTCGGTTGCAGAGCCTTAAGGAAGCAGCTTGTTCTCACAGAGTGGTGTGTGGAGGAAACTTATTGAGTTTCTGCTTTGATGAGTCGATAAGAGGAGAGTGAAATGTAGCACTGCCTGCAGAGTCCAAGATACCATCAGCAAGCCAATAAGGTAAGAATATATTTCCAAGAGAACAGCCAAGATTACATCCTTCTGTCTGTCTGTCTGTCTATCCATCCATCCATCCATCCATCCATCCATCCATCCATCCATCCTTCCTTCCTTCCTTCCATCCATCCACCCACTCACCCACTCATCCATCCATCCATCCATCTATGTTGTGGGTAAAAAGAAGCCAGGCGAAGTTGATTGATGAGCATTCTTGAAAAAAAATCATAAGCATTTATCAAGCGTGAAAGAGCGATTAATGAATCCATTATATGAGAAATGTGCAATGAGAAATGATTAACAAGCCATCCTGACTACATCAAGTCACTGCACAAAGTCATTATCTTCCCCCAGCCGAGACCACATGGCCATGGCTGCTGAATGAGTAAAGATATTATTTTTTAGCAGTCAGCCATCGGCCCAGTAAACACAGCACATAATAGAAAATAGAGAGCAGGGTAGGAAGAACAAAGCGTGATGTCATCAGAATGGAAATAGCCCCTCACCTCACCCGAATGCATCCACAGGGAGTTACATTCTCATCCTCCACACAAATTCACAAGGATCATCTACCATCAGGACCGCAGAGTCACATGATCTTTGCAGACGTAATTCATTACGATTCCCAGCCCAGCTGAATAGAACACACCCACAGGCCATGCTTGCAGCGCTTATCAAATTAAACTGTCCTCATGAGCAATACAAGTGGCATATTTATGAAGCCATATTACTATCAAATCATTTTAATATAATTATGGAACATAATCAAATCAAAACCAGGCTGGAGACAGGCGTAGCCCAAAGGCTCCATGCATCTTTGATATTATGTAAGACACCAAAGCCTTGTGTTCAATTCAAACACATTAAGCAGGTAAATACCAAGGTGATTTTCCTCAAACATGATTGCTCATTATAGACACGGTGTCTCTGTTGTATCATTATGCTGATATGCGCTTTTCATAAATTGCCAGGACTGTAAATCACATTGAAAGCCTCTGAAGCCAATTTAAAGATCTGAATAAATTTTTTTTTTCTTTGTAATAATGTCCACTGATGAATAATTAGACCAAGAATATGTATTAAGAAAGTAAACATTTTTCATTTTGATGTTGTTTTGACTCGGAAGTGAACTTCACTCTGTAAATATGGCACAATCCTGCACACACACTGCTGTCAGCTCTTCCTCTGCTGTCATCATGACATCTTTTGATGTTTACCCAGCAGACAGAGGTTAACAAACTTCATCCTCAGTGACCAATGACCCTTGGCCCAGTGTCAGATAAATTAACCCAATGCTGCATGCTTTTAACCCTGCTCACGGGCAAAACACTTACTATTCAACGAGCCATAACAGATAAACCAATATTCCAAACACAAACCTTCAATAGCACTTGACATGATTCATTTTTCAGTCCAAAAGTAAGCTTTAGAAAAGCAGTAACACAACTAACTTCACAAAAGGCCTCAGCACAATCACATCAGCCAGCATTGACCTCTTCATTTGCCTTTTCTGCCTGTCTGTCTCTCGTTCGCTTTGACTGAGTGATGAGCTACAACCAAAGTCTTTTACATATGTCTGCTGATTACATACGTGTCTGCTGATTAAACACACTGAACTGATGTTTGTTCTGTGAGAAGATATCATCAGACATGCATGAGAACAAGCACATTCTCTAAAAGTCCTGTGAAGAAAGGACAGCAAGCTCTCTTAAAGACATAATACAGACAGAGATGTGGGATCTTATCAAAATTCCAAGGACATTTTTGAATATACTGTATGAAGACACAGTAAGCTGAGCAGCGTAAAAGCATAAAATGCTTTAGTGACGCCTAAAGCATTTTATGCAGAATTGCATATCATAAAAACCGGGACAGCTTTATGGTTATGAATACAATTTACTATATATGAATACAAAAGTAAGCTGTTTTCTAACTGTATTAGCACGCCATTAAGCTTGTGAACAGCAAGATGGCTACATTCAGAATAGCATATTTATGCAGTGTGCAGAATGCAGTTTTACTGGATGGCAATATTGCTTGGAAAATTGTACCCCATAATTCAAAGCATATTTTGATTTTCTGTTTCCATTTCTGCCAGAATCAATATCCCCTGTGATTTTTGGATCAGAATGCATTTTGCACATCTGCAAAACAAATAAAGTAAGTGCGATTAGATTAGAATGCATTTTACTCACACAATAAAAATAATAATTTTTATTTACAATTTATTAGTCTATTTTTTTTTAAATATACCATTTTACTTAATGAATTGAGATTTTATTAATTAATGAATTAAATGAGAATGAATGCACATGTTTGAAATGGTTTATTAAAAATATTTTATTACAGTTTATTACAATATATTATTAAAATAGTATACATTGTATACTACACAGTGTCCAGTAAGCAGTATGCTATAGTATTTAATTCTGAACATAGGCTATGTGTCTTCTGAATTAAAGGGATAGTTCACCCAAAAATGAAAATTATCCTATGATTTACTCACCCTTAAGCCATCTTAGGTGTATATGACTTTCTTCTTTCAGACGAATACAATCGGAGTTATATTTAAAAATGTCCTGGCTCTTCCAAGCTTTATTATTGCAGTGAATGATGGTCAAGATTTTGAAGCCCAAAAAAGTGCGTCGATAAAAGTAATCCACACGGCTCTGGGGAGTTAATAAAGGGCTTCTGAAGCGAAGAAATGAGTTTGTGTAAGAATAATATCCATATTTAAAACTTTATAAACTGTAATTTGTAGCTTCCTTTAACTGCTTTACGCGTGTGTAACAATATTCGTAGATCGGGGAAGAAGGAGGCGGGAATTGGCAAACATTTAAACATAAAACTTTTTTTATGTTTAAATTATTTAAACATAATATAAATTAAATTTATATTAAGCATATACACCTGATGGCTTGAGGGTGAGTAAATTATGGGGTAATTTTCATTTTTGGGTGAACTATCCCTTTAAAGTACATGCTCATAGTTTAAATGCGGCCAATGAGAACACAAGCTGCGATAGCTGTTGCTTTGGATTGTGTCACAAAGTCCAGGCTGTTCTCCCAGCAGGCACCATCTCCATGTCATAGTGACGCCTGTCAATCCATTCAACCAATAGGATTGCATTTTCTCATGCAGTGTATGACATTTGCAACACGTGAGAGGTAGCGCTTACTGCTCTCATTTTCAGCACACAACCGCTTTTACAGAAGCAAGACTCGGATCTGATCAGAGTTTGGCTCTATTTTTAGAGCGAAGTCTTAATATTTGGATCCTAGTTCAACAGAAGCTGCACTTTAAAGTGTTCAGAGGCGATTCACTGTTCCTTCATCACACTCGCTAGAACTCTGTTAGTCCAGAGAGACAGTTTTTTGGCATCATAACCCTAACACAACCATTGCTAAAGCAAGTTAAACGAAAGATAAATAAAAGAAAGTAGACAATTCATAAATAAAATGTGACTGCCAGGGAAAGGGTGCTTCTACTAAATACTGAGCAAAGGGTCTGAATACTTAGGACCATGTGATATTTCAGTTTTTCTTTTTTAATAAATCTGCAAAAATGTCAACAATTCTGTGTTTTTCTGTCAATATGGGGTGCTGTGTGTACATTGAGGGAAAAAAATTAACTTAAATGATTTTAGCAAATGGCTGCAATATAACAAAGAGTGAAAAATTTAAGGGGGTCTGAATACTTTCCGTACCCACTGTAGTTGTTAAGCTGTATTAATCAATTATAATTATAATTCTCTACTGAATAATGTATGGTCGATTTGTGTGTGTGTGTGTATGTTTTATTAATTAAATAATTTTATATTTCTTAATTTAGTTTTAATTTATATTTTATTTTTAAACATGCTTATTTTATTATGGCCATCTGAGGGGACAAATACTGAAACAGTACTGTCTAACAGGTCTCAGATCAGTGAGGGACATCCTCCAAATGCTATTTGCACATTGTCCTGACATTTTGTGTCATTTGTGTCTCTGTATCATCCATCAGCCTGTCAGCTTTTCAATATCACTCCAACCTCCAGACCTGTTTACAGAGGGCAAGCATGATCCACTCTTTTCCCCTTCTCCTCTCACTCTCGCTCTTTCTTTTCAGTCAATTGTTTTTCCATCCACTGACTGTTAGATACAGAGTGGAACGTGATCTGTTGGTTAATGTAGGTAAGTGGCTAGTTGTAGCGGATAAGCTCAGATACAGCAGCAACTGTATATGCTATTCAAAAGTCAGCAAGATGTTGTAATGTTCTTGAAATCTTTTATGCTCACTAAGGCTGCATTTACTTTATAATAAAATATAACAAAAACCGTAATACTGTGAAATATTATTACAATTTAAAATAACTGTTTACTATTTTAATACGTTTCAAAATGTAGTTTATTCCTGTGATGCAAAGCTGAATTTTCAGCATCATTACTCCAGTCTTCAGTGTCACATCATCCTTCAGAAATCAGTCTAATATGATGATTTGATGCTTAAGAGATTTCTTATTATTATCAACGCATTTCTTCTTATTATCAAAGTTGAAAACAGTTGTGCTGCTTAATATTTTTGTGAAAACTATGATGTAGGATTCTTTGATCAATAAAAGTTTAAAAGAACAGCAGTTATTTTTACATTATAAATGTCTTTACTGTCACTTTGTTCAGTTTAATGCATCCTTGCTGGATATATTACTTTCTTTCAAAAAATACAAAAATGATATATCTGTAATTAGATGCGGGTGGCCAAACATTTAGTCATTTTCATATAGTCATAATTATTGTTTGCCTGAAGCACAGATGGTTTATACGGAAAATACGGAGAGCAAAAATGTCACAAAGTGAATACAATGGAAAGACTAATTTTATAAAGGCTAGGCCCATTTCTGCCAATAAAGGGTAATTTCAATCTTATATTTCACAATATCTCACTGTGTGACTTTATATCCTACATGTGACTTTGTTTCATATTTTAAACTTTATCTCACAATTACCTTTTTTCTCTAAGGCTGAAATTGGCTTCCATAGGAGACAACATATGAACATAACACAATTACAACATAACATAACATAACACGCCAGCAGACACCACTTCGACAGGCTGTTTGAGGTTAACTCGAAAATAAAATAAATGTCATTTAAAGTGTATGATTTGTACGCGAGACCCAATTTGCAGCGGCAAACCCCTGTTGGCCCTTGCTATTTCCTCCCAGCAGTATTCCAATGTCATTTTTATATTTTAATGAGTCCCGCTGAAACTCACTCTCAGTAGACTATAATATAACAACTCCCATTATTAACATCACAGGATTAGCCGTCACAATCATTATACCTGAAGAAAACAAAACATCCCATTTAGAACAGTCACACAAATCTTAACAGCTTTTTGTTGATCCACATTGCAGACAAGCTTAATGTTTAGAACCTGCCACATTCCAACCAAAATCACCGGTTTGGAAGAATTACGTAATACATATCTTGAGAGAAGAAAGTCTAGTTTTCAGGGTTCTGGGTATCATCTTGCAGGATGCACTGAGAAATGACTCCTTTAGGCTTCCTGTCATCAAATTTACAGGTAAAGGGTTCTACTGCTCATGCTCTTATTGCAGTCGTGGCTTAATGGTTAGAGAGTCGGACTTGTAACCCGAAGGTTCAGTGTCCAAATACTTCTTAGTCTTCATTTTGAACATCATTTGTTTTAAGACCAAATTAACTTCTTATTTTGAGCTGGTTTACTTGAAAAGTGCTTGTGAAACTTGGTTTGATATATTGATACCTAATGCAATGATTTTCTAAGATATTCTTACATTTCAAGTTTCCAAATACATTTAACAATATCTGCAAATGTCACTCATGGAAAATATAAATGTATGATATATAACAAAGTCATGTAAATACATTTCATGTTGCTCCATAAAAAACAATGCTGTAGAATAAGCCTTAACTGCCATCTTACTGGTTCCCAGGAGGCCGTGGGGCTCTGACTGCCGTCTGCCTTTCCGCCCCTCTTGGTCCTTGCGTTTTTTGGTCCCTCTCAGGCTGCTAAACCGTTTCATGGGTGGTGAGAGAGTTCGGACAGGCTGTGGAAAGTGCAATAGGTCATTCCATACCCATAGACAGTGCTTGAAGAAGTTTTAGTTGGACCTCTTCAGTTACTTCCAGGCCTTGGATCCATATCACCCAATCATTGAGCCAGTGGCAGGTGCTCCTCAAGGATTATTCCATGCTCTTCAACCAAAGTCCTTCCTTCAGGGTTCTTCAGCTTCTTTCTCTTACAGACTCGTGTTGCTGTTTCACAGTTCTGAATCAGTGGCCAGCCGGCTGGCAAGCCTGCAGCAGATTGTCAAGTGCAGCTGTGTGTACGCCAGCGTGTGTGTGTGTGTGTGAAGCATGCCTTTAAAGCAGCATGTGTAACAAGGAGACTGTAAAAGGAAACCGACCCATGCTTGGTTTGGAATTGCTGGTGATTGGCCAAACAGCAGTAAACCCCACCCACTCATAAATAATTCACATCCTTTCACATATATTATGTGTTGGGCATCTATGTGAGTGAACTGTTTTTTTGTGTTTAATATTAGAGAAACAAAAGAGAAAATATATATATAGTTAAAAAGAAATTTCACTATCTAGTGTTAAAATGAAAAAAACTTCTAATTTCATGTGGACTGTGACTTCCTCTGAAGTCAGTTGACTTTAATAAAAATCTCATTAAGGAGAGGACAAAAATAATCCGGGGACCATAAAATAGGATTTAACCTTTCTGAATACCTTGCCAACTGAAATTAATTCAGCGCCGTGGGAGAGCATTCCTGTTTAATGCAAGAAATCTTATTTCTATTTGCTTATTAGTGGTGCAAACTAAGGCAAGCATCACTATTATTATTATTATAGTAAAGAAATTAATTATATATTCAGTTTCCACAAAAATATTAGGCAGACCAGCTGTTTTCAACATTGATGATAATAAGAAATCAAGCATCAAATCAGCATATTAGAATGATTTCTGAAGGATCATGTGACACTGAAGACTGAAGTAATGATGTTGAAAATTCATTTTTAATATATTTCAGCTTACAAAATCAGATATTTTAAACTGCATTAAAATTATTTTCCCTAAAAAATTAAGAATAATTAAATAATTACATAAATTTTAAAAAGTGACCAAAAATATTACCAAGCCCATACACCTAAAATATTTAAGTTTTTTCAGCATCATTACTCCAGTCTTCAGTGTCACATCATCCTTCAGAAATCAGTCTAATATGATGATTTGATGCTTAAGAGATTTCTTATTATTATCAACGCATTTCTTCTTATTATCAAAGTTGAAAACAGTTGTGCTGCTTAATATTTTTGTGAAAACTATGATGTAGGATTCTTTGATCAATAAAAGTTTAAAAGAACAGCAGTTATTTTTACATTATAAATGTCTTTACTGTCACTTTGTTCAGTTTAATGCATCCTTGCTGGATATATTACTTTCTTTCAAAAAATACAAAAATGATATATCTGTAATTAGATGCGGGTGGCCAAACATTTAGTCATTTTCATATAGTCATAATTATTGTTTGCCTGAAGCACAGATGGTTTATACGGAAAATACGGAGAGCAAAAATGTCACAAAGTGAATACAATGGAAAGACTAATTTTATAAAGGCTAGGCCCATTTCTGCCAATAAAGGGTAATTTCAATCTTATATTTCACAATATCTCACTGTGTGACTTTATATCCTACATGTGACTTTGTTTCATATTTTAAACTTTATCTCACAATTACCTTTTTTCTCTAAGGCTGAAATTGGCTTCCATAGGAGACAACATATGAACATAACACAATTACAACATAACATAACATAACACGCCAGCAGACACCACTTCGACAGGCTGTTTGAGGTTAACTCGAAAATAAAATAAATGTCATTTAAAGTGTATGATTTGTACGCGAGACCCAATTTGCAGCGGCAAACCCCTGTTGGCCCTTGCTATTTCCTCCCAGCAGTATTCCAATGTCATTTTTATATTTTAATGAGTCCCGCTGAAACTCACTCTCAGTAGACTATAATATAACAACTCCCATTATTAACATCACAGGATTAGCCGTCACAATCATTATACCTGAAGAAAACAAAACATCCCATTTAGAACAGTCACACAAATCTTAACAGCTTTTTGTTGATCCACATTGCAGACAAGCTTAATGTTTAGAACCTGCCACATTCCAACCAAAATCACCGGTTTGGAAGAATTACGTAATACATATCTTGAGAGAAGAAAGTCTAGTTTTCAGGGTTCTGGGTATCATCTTGCAGGATGCACTGAGAAATGACTCCTTTAGGCTTCCTGTCATCAAATTTACAGGTAAAGGGTTCTACTGCTCATGCTCTTATTGCAGTCGTGGCTTAATGGTTAGAGAGTCGGACTTGTAACCCGAAGGTTCAGTGTCCAAATACTTCTTAGTCTTCATTTTGAACATCATTTGTTTTAAGACCAAATTAACTTCTTATTTTGAGCTGGTTTACTTGAAAAGTGCTTGTGAAACTTGGTTTGATATATTGATACCTAATGCAATGATTTTCTAAGATATTCTTACATTTCAAGTTTCCAAATACATTTAATAATATCTGCAAATGTCACTCATGGAAAATATAAATGTATGATATATAACAAAGTCATGTAAATACATTTCATGTTGCTCCATAAAAAACAATGCTGTAGAATAAGCCTTAACTGCCATCTTACTGGTTCCCAGGAGGCCGTGGGGCTCTGACTGCCGTCTGCCTTTCCGCCCCTCTTGGTCCTTGCGTTTTTTGGTCCCTCTCAGGCTGCTAAACCGTTTCATGGGTGGTGAGAGAGTTCGGACAGGCTGTGGAAAGTGCAATAGGTCATTCCATACCCATAGACAGTGCTTGAAGAAGTTTTAGTTGGACCTCTTCAGTTACTTCCAGGCCTTGGATCCATATCACCCAATCATTGAGCCAGTGGCAGGTGCTCCTCAAGGATTATTCCATGCTCTTCAACCAAAGTCCTTCCTTCAGGGTTCTTCAGCTTCTTTCTCTTACAGACTCGTGTTGCTGTTTCACAGTTCTGAATCAGTGGCCAGCCGGCTGGCAAGCCTGCAGCAGATTGTCAAGTGCAGCTGTGTGTACGCCAGCGTGTGTGTGTGTGTGTGTGAAGCATGCCTTTAAAGCAGCATGTGTAACAAGGAGACTGTAAAAGGAAACCGACCCATGCTTGGTTTGGAATTGCTGGTGATTGGCCAAACAGCAGTAAACCCCACCCACTCATAAATAATTCACATCCTTTCACATATATTATGTGTTGGGCATCTATGTGAGTGAACTGTTTTTTTGTGTTTAATATTAGAGAAACAAAAGAGAAAATATATATATAGTTAAAAAGAAATTTCACTATCTAGTGTTAAAATGAAAAAAACTTCTAATTTCATGTGGACTGTGACTTCCTCTGAAGTCAGTTGACTTTAATAAAAATCTCATTAAGGAGAGGACAAAAATAATCCGGGGACCATAAAATAGGATTTAACCTTTCTGAATACCTTGCCAACTGAAATTAATTCAGCGCCGTGGGAGAGCATTCCTGTTTAATGCAAGAAATCTTATTTCTATTTGCTTATTAGTGGTGCAAACTAAGGCAAGCATCACTATTATTATTATTATAGTAAAGAAATTAATTATATATTCAGTTTCCACAAAAATATTAGGCAGACCAGCTGTTTTCAACATTGATGATAATAAGAAATCAAGCATCAAATCAGCATATTAGAATGATTTCTGAAGGATCATGTGACACTGAAGACTGAAGTAATGATGTTGAAAATTCATTTTTAATATATTTCAGCTTACAAAATCAGATATTTTAAACTGCATTAAAATTATTTTCCCTAAAAAATTAAGAATAATTAAATAATTACATAAATTTTAAAAAGTGACCAAAAATATTACCAAGCCCATACACCTAAAATATTTAAGTTTTTTTTTTCATTATTAATGGCACACTGATGATGGCACTTACACTTGTAAGTAATGAAACTTCATTAAGCTTTGAACATGTTCCTGCATTATTATTATTTACCATCGTAAGTTTGACTGCTTTACTGTGGCCGTAACGTAAACCGACCTTTACTTAAAATAGATGCACAAAATATCAGATCTAATCTGTATCTTGCCCTGTAACAGAGCAAATCTGGAAGTCTCCAAAAGAATACCCTGGTGAAATCCAATATCTGGGTCATGAAGTGTATTCCATTCAAGGAGGAAAAACAATCTCAGTGACAATCAATTTAGCTAATGAATTCATGTCCCTGGTGATAACTGTCATCAACATCTGATCACCACCTACTTCCTGTGCCATCATAAACAAATCATTCTCTGTCAGTGCACTCACGGCACCAAATTAATCACTTAATAGTGGGTAAAGTCACACTGTCAGGCTCCACGCCAAAAGATAGTTGTGTAAGCAGAATTAGATGGGCTTTGAGTAATCACCTCTCATTTTCCAAACTCTCCGCTGTCGTTCCTTGTCAGGGGCACTTAGAGTCTTGCTAAGCACTTCTAAAGATGCTCATTTGGGCCCAAAAAAGTGCCTTCGGTGAGAAGCAAGCAGCTAATCCCTTCGAAATCCACTGTACTTCCTGAAATCTTCAAAGGACCAGGGTCAACAAGACACTGGAAAGAACAGGGTTGGTTTTTAGGACAAAAATGCAGTCAGGAACCACTAATGGAGCCGAATGTAAAAGTCATGTTTTTTAGGTGTTGTGTGCTCTAGCCCCACCACAGACAGCAGCTCTGTTCTTAAACCTAGTGAGCTGCCTACCAAGACAACATTTCGAGGCTGTTCTTAAAAGTTACTGTAGGTGGGAACATTATGTTGTGATATAGGGTACTTGCAAATCCTAAAGCAGCAAACCAAGAAAGCTTAGCAACGCGCTCAGTGATAAATACATCCATGTCGTTGACATAAACATTGACTATTAATCATGGCTGTGTGCCATTAAGAATGGAATGAAATTGCAATTCAAATTTGACTAAGGAAGCATAATTCAAATTTTAATTCAAATAATTTCATATTATTGTAATTTTAAATTGAAAATCAAAGATTATCAAGCCAAACTTTGAATTTTGACTTGACAAAGTTTTATTTGAAAGTTAAAAAAGGGATAGACAAGGTTTTTAATGCTTGTGAAGGATGTATCTTACTGTATCAAAAATACAGTAAAAACAGTAATACTGTTAAGTATTATTACAATTTAATATATATATTTTTTTAATGTAATATATTATTATATATATATTTATATTTAATATATTACAGTAACTATATTAATATATTTAATATAGTAATATTTAATATAATTTAAAATAACTGTTTACTAGTTTGACTATTTTTTAAATGTAATTTATTTCTGTGATGCAATGCTGAATTTTCAGCAGCCATTACTGCAGTGTTCAGAGTCACATCATCCTTCAGAAATCATTCTAATATGCTGATTTGCTGCTCAAGAAACACTTATCAATGTTATCAATATATCAATTGTGCTGCTTAATAATTTTGTTTGTCAGGATTCTTTGATGAATAGAAAGTTCAAAATAATTTATATAAAGAAGAAATCTTTGTAACGTTACCAATGTCATTACTATAACTTTTGATTAATTTAACATGTTCTTGCTGAATACAATGATTAATTTATTCATATTGATGGCAAACTTTTGAATGGTAGTGTAGACAAGTTTGAATATATTTCATCTTATTTACTAAATTAACTTTTGTGGACTTTGGGAAAATCATTTTTATTTTCTAGTATTCATCACCTGATCTGAATTTCTTTGAATTGCATTTCAGTAAACTCAAGCACAATTGTTACAATTCAACTTCCTGTGGTGTGTAGCCAATTCAATTTCACACCCGTGAACTAAAAGGGGGCCAGTTCTGCACTTTGGAACTCAACCCATGTAGCTTAGCAACACACTAGCATCAAACTCTATTAGAATCCTTTGTGAGTAGCTGCTTATAGTATGTACAGCATTCCACATCAGTCACTTATGAGGCTCTGTATCAGTTGGCACAGGCTGCTTGTGCAGGCAGTAGACAGCAAGGCCGCTCACAAGAGCTTTTGTGTTCATCACAGAGGACCTGCTCTTCTATGGTGTCAGAGCTGGAAAAGCCTTCTTATTCCATTTGCCTGATTTAATAAGCTTTCATGTGAGAGTGAGCGATGCCAAGTTACTGGATATCTAAGAATGGGGCTGTTTTCTACTGCAGGTCACCTTGTACTTTTGGAGTCAAGCCAGATTGACTTTTCTAGACAGTCTCTTAGAAAAAAGAAGACGGTGGCCCTTGAAATGGCAGAGAAAGTCTGTGCAACACACAGAAAATTGCACGAAATTATAAGTGATAATATAGACCAATTTTAGGGTCCTGTTTGAAAGTCTTACAGGTTTGGAATGACATGAGGGCGAGTAAATAATGACGGAATTATCTTCTTTTTTTTTTTTTTTTTTTTTTGCTGAACTGTTCCTTTAAGTTCTCAGAGGTCAGAGATGCTTCTCATCTGAGATGTTTCTCTCAGTGAAAGATGTTCTAGAAAGATCGTCACAACAGAACTTTTCTGTTCGCAGCCAGTCTGTAGACTCTTCCCTAATAAGGATATGCCCATGCTATATCTTATGTGCAAACATGGCATCTGTCTGTAAACACACAGAGGCTCTCTGCAGCCGCAGATCCAGTGATGAACAGTATTCCCAGATAAGGCCTGAATGAGGGTGAGGAATGCACGGGCACAGTGAGATACTCCTCTAACATTATCTAGATGTTATCCAGATGTTTTGGTAAATGTTAGAAAGCTAAAAATGGCACAATGAAGAAGACATCAAAGTGATTTTGACTGCCTTAATTAGACTTTTAAATCAGCTTTTAATTTAAAATAATGACTGTAAGGTAGTACCTTAATTATAATGTGTTTAATTTCAGATTCAAGTTTTAATTAAATAATTAAAAATACAAAATTTCACACAAAAATATCCAGTTTAAAATTTGAATTACATTAATTATTACAATTATTTTGCATTTGAATACAAAACTGAATATATATATATTTATTATTTCAGGACCAATTTAATTAGTGAGAAAAAACAATAATATGATATGATTATTTTTAATAATGTTTATTTATTGATTAATATCTATTGTATACAGATGTTTTGGTAAATGTTAGAAAGCTAAAAATGGCACAATGAAGAAGACATCAAAGTGATTTTGACTGCCTTAATTAGACTTTTAAATCAGCTTTTAATTTAAAATAATGACTGTAAGGTAGTACCTTAATTATAATGTGTTTAATTTCAGATTCAAGTTTTAATTAAATAATTAAAAATACAAAATTTCACACAAAAATATCCAGTTTAAAATTTGAATTACATTAATTATTACAATTATTTTGCATTTGAATACAAAACTGAATATATATATATATTTATTATTTCAGGACCAATTTAATTAGTGAGAAAAAACAATAATATGATATGATTATTTTTAATAATGTTTATCTATTGATTAATATCTATTGTATAGAAATACATAAGTACAGGAAGACCTACGTGACAATTGGCAGGTCAAAATCTTACCAATACAACCTGGACCTCTGAAAAACAAGCATGCATTTTACCAGGGAGAGTCTCTCTCTCTCTCTCTCTCTCTCTCTCTCTCTGTGTGTGTGTGTCCGCATGTTTATGTGGTTTATGAGGACACAAATTTGTATAATAACATGGGTATGACATAGGTATTACAACGAGAAGGTGATTTATGAGGACATTTTCAGTGTCCCTGTAATTCAAAAGGCTTATAAATAATTCAGAATTAGTTTTTTTGAAAATCTAAAAATGCAGAAAGTTTCCTGTGAGAGGTAGGTTTAGGGGTAGGGTTGGTGTAGGGCAATAGAAAATACGGTTTGTACAGTATAAAAACCATTACGCCTATGGAGAGTCCCCATAAACCATAAAAACAAACCTGTGTGTGTGTGTGTGTAAATCTAAAAAGTAATTAAAATACTATGATATTATATAGTAACTATAAAAGTATAGGTAGGTCTCAAAATAATACTAGAATAACACTAATACCATGGCATTTACTCTGTGTCGTACCATAGTATTACCACAGTACATGACCAAAAAACATGGTAGTATTTTTTGTATAATATTACATGCAATATAATATAAAGTATGGCATCAGCAAGATTTTATAAAGAAATTAATACTATTAAAAAAAGGAATATCAGAAAGAACACATAGTACTACCACAGTACACGTCCAAAGAAACATGTTACCATATCCAAAAAATAATGGAAATATTATGGTAGCCTACTTTTTTTAAATGTTAAGAGGTCATGGTGAATAATAAGAATAACTGTCCAATAATTTTTCAGTAATATATGAAATAAACGCATATTAAATATAAAATTCTAGTCACACATATTTAGATAACATGCACTTCCTCTTTTTACCCATAGACGGTGGTAAAAGATGGAGACGCCTTATTTGGTCACTACAGAGTATATATATATATATATATATATATATATATATAATTTTTTATATTATATTATATATTATTTTTTGTACATCGTTTTTTATGTCAGAAGCATGAAACCAATAAATAAATAAAAGAGGTTGATTTTAAGATCACTTTTGTTTGTAAAACATTTATAATAGGCCTACTGCCGCAAAACCAATGGAGAACACAGATGTTCTCAAACAATCGTAATTAATAATTGTTTACTTTATCTCCATCTAGTGGTCACAGAGGAACATGACAATAAAAGCCACTACCCCTTTCTATGTTTTATTTACATTAACTTTCAAAACGTTTAGGGTCAGTAAGATTTTATAAAATAATAATAATAATAATAATAATAGCCTACTATTATTCAGAAATGAAGCATTACATTGATAAAGTGACTGTAAAAACATTCATAATGTTACATAATATTTCTGTTTCAAATAAATGTTCTTTTGAAAAATGATTTCTACTAAAATCTTAACTGTTTTCATAATTAATAAAAAAAAAGACTTCTTTGGCAAATCAGTATAATAGCATGATTTCTGAAGGATCATGTGACACTGAAGACTGGCGTAATGATGCTGAAAATTCAGCTTTGATCACAGGAATAAATTACATTTTACAAACTTAAAAAATGGGAAATTGAAATAATACTTTATGATTTTTAATTATCTAAACAATATTATTGTCACATAAATGCAGCCTTGGCGAGCATAAATTAGTTATTTTAGAAACATAAACTGACCCAAAGTTTTGAATAATATAATATAATAATATACAGGCAGACAAATATATAACATGTAAATACCCCACAGTTTTTCTAATTAATTTCTCATTGTGATCTTGATATCAAGAATGCAACATTTAAATGTTGTCCAGTAGGTGGCGATACAACCAAAGACTCAGATTGTGGCACATAGAAGGATGACACAGCATCAGTTCTTCCTCATCACTGTTTTCTTGAGGTAAAAAATTAATTGCTATCATATTAGAGACATACAGGTGTCCTCATCCCCAGCTGCCTGTGCTGAGGAGCTCTGAGGACGTCTTAGAGCCAAGGATTCATTTCAGTTAATATAATTTGTATGGAAGCAAACGTGATTGAATTATGGACTTTCTGCATTCTGATGTCACTGTCTGGGTGCAGTCCAATTCCCGGATTTAATAGGATTCTGAATTTCTCTGGCAAGTTCTGTTCCGAGTGATTTCCTGAATGACAAACACTGCGTCCATTACTGTTCATCAAGCTCAGTGTCACTGCCGCAAACACATCCATCCCGGGTAACAGCAGAAAATAACCTGGCCCTGAGACAGGTAAATAACCAGGATTTTATCAATACAGAAATGGATTCATAACTCATATCTGGATGCACTTGTAGAGAAGTGTGTATTTGTGTGCAAAGGTACCAGATGCACTCAGCAGATAAAAACCTCATTATACAGACCAATATAATCAAGTAATAAAAACGTAACTGAGAAACACATCTTCCTTTTCTCTCGAGTGCCTCTAATGTTTAATACTCTCCCACTATGCGTTTTAATCTTTCCAGCACTGCTTTACAATCAGACAGAGGCATCTAACTCACTGTTCCAACTCTGTATTGAATAATAAATCAATACTGTTGTTTTTGGCTGACAGGAAAGTCTGCCAGCCAGAGCAACTAATGGATTGTTGGAGAAGTGTGCTGTTATGTAAGTTTGTATGTGTATGAAGAAGAAAATTCCCAACTGTGTGTATTGAAGCTGTGGGTCAAACACACACACACACGCCCACACACTGCAAAATACACATGTACATTTTATTTTCACTGCATTCAAATCAGAACTTTTTTCAGTTAGAATTCACTTACTACAGTCAATTGCACAAAAAAGAGTCCTGATATATATTTATATATGTGTGTGTGTGTGTGTGCGTGCGTGCATGCATGCATGCACGCATGTATATATAAAATAATAGAAATACTGTGATATAAAAATACATATTACGTTTATATTTATATATTTATAAATTAAATAAATTAATAATGTGTGTGTATATATATGCATACATACACACATTCATACAATTATTTATAATAAATATACATTTATTTTTTAAATTAATTTATAAATATATACATTATTTTTATATAATTATATATATAATTTTAAATTGAAATAATTACATACTTTTATGAATATGTATTATTTTAAAATGATTAAAATTAAAACAATTTATAATATAAATTTGTTTGATTTTATATATATATATATATATATATATATATATACAAATTTATCATTTATTTTATATATATTTTAGAAATAAAATATTATATAAATCAAAGGAGGAATGGATATATTTTAATATATATATATATATATAAATAATTAAATAATGTTATGAATATGTTTGTACATATAGTTTTTAATTATATAAATTATTTAAAATAAAAGATAATATATAAAATTATATAATTCTGTTTCTCTCTCTCTCTCTCTATATATATATATATACACACACACACACACACACACACACACACACACACACACACACACACGGACCTCCCAATAA